CCGGGAGCCGAGGAGCCGGTTGGGACCGTGCAGAGCTCGGTTGGGTCCGTTCCGTGGGAGCAGCGGTGCAAGGGTCAGCCCGTGTTCGGGCGTCCCGGGGGCAGCCAGAGGGGGAACACTTGAATCCGGGGAGGCGGCAAAATGCTGCAGCTGGTGGAGACGGGAGATCCCCCAGTGGTGAGAGGGATGCAGAGGGAGAGAGCTCAGAGGAGGCTGATCTGTGCTGTCAGCCTGGTGTCCTCTCAAGACAGGGTCACATCCTGCCTGAGGAGGGTGAAGCAGGTCAGGCCTGCCCAGACTTGCACGTCGGAGCTGAATCCGCTCCCAGCCCCTGGAAGCTCTGCTTGCCCTCTTGGCAGGGGAGGACTAGCTTCTCAGGTGACCTGAGGTTTCACATACGTGCTCAGCCGTGGGGACTGGTACAATGGTTTGACCACGCAGCCCTTGTTCCCAGCGCAGTCTCATAGCTGTGCTGCAACTATTTTTGTGGATCCCCAAGGAACGTTCCTCCAGCCATTTCTAGCAAATTAGTCACGGTGACAGCCGAGGGCTCGGCGTTGGTGCACGTAGCAACACTCAGCTGTTCAGACTTGTTCAACTGTACAAGATGACTATTGGCCATTCATATACTGTATTTTCTTGTACACTGTTACTTTTTTGCCTAAGGCAGTGCGTATTGCTTAGAAATCTGTGGCAGAGGAGGTGATTAGGCAAGGATGTGATTGGCAAATAGACTGTAGGTTTTTTCTGTTCTACTTGTGTAAAATCTTGTCTAGTGCTCTTTTTATCCACCAGTGGATCTCCTTCCCTGCACTATGACTTACGCTTTAGAATTCCTCCTGTGTGCAGCCACCCTGCTTTTTGACAGTTAGTATACTCTCCTTATTAAAGTTACTCCTCAAAGCCCAGCAACACAGTGTGTATGTGTATTTATATATCCATGAGGGACATCAAGAACTAATTACACCAGATGCAACTGATGGTAAACAGCACCGTAAGTCAAGTCAACATCACAGGAATGAACGAGATGGGTCTTCTAATATTGCTAAGCAAAAAAGGCTGGCTGTGTTTGCTGGAAGAGACGCACAAGTGTAAACTCTGCTAAACGACAAATACAGACATTGGTCTCTGTTTTCATACAATAAACAAGTCCCAATGAAGTAACCTGCAGTTAGTGTTTCTACTGAGGCTTTTATCAGTTTGCAGCTCAGTGTGCAGATCTTCTATGCCCGCACGCAAATACCCTGTATGAGCCAAAGCAAATAAGGTGCCGTCTCTGTGCTGCGGTGCAGTCTGTGTGACAGGCACTGACCTGCTGTAATGACGTGTTAGTCCCATCACAGGACTGATGGGTTCAGTCTGCCTGCTAGAACCACTGCGTGAGGACAGCCAGCAGGCTGAAATGTGGTTGTGGCTGCCCTCACCCACTGCTCATTTCTCATATTGTCGTTTCTCAGTTGCCCACTACCTTGGATAATAAGCACAGGCAGCAGGACAACCAGACAGTCAGGTCTGAGGGTTGACTGCTTCTTGCCTGTAAGCGTGATTGATTTGTAACTTTCTGCTGCATTTTTCCAAGGACAGCCTGAACTCTACAGATCTTGCCAGAGCTGGGTGTGTGATAACCCCTTAGAGCCATTCTAAAATACAGAGCAATTCCATGCATGACAGTAGATTTACACAAGTTTGCCTCACTCTATGATATAAATCATGAGCGTAAGGCGCCTTGTCCTTGTACTTTGCCAGGTGGCTTGATTTTTGAGGATTTTTTTTTTAGTATATATTCATGTTTCTCAATTATTAGGCTTAACTTGCACATCTGTCTGGTTCCTATTCTTAAGAAGCCCTTTCTTCCTACCTTTCCTGGCAATGCTGCCTGGTACTGCTGTGCACGTGGACCCTCTTACCCAGCTAAGCTGGAGGCCACCATCACTGTGGGTAGCCAGAGTCATTTCCCAGTTAGGTGAAAGACGTGGTTTCGAATCACTTTGGTCAGCAGATGGATATGAACCTTGGTCTGCGATGAAGACCAATGCTGGAATTGAAGACAGATGGATATGAACCTTGGTCTGCGATGAAGCTGCTTATGCTGGAATTTAAGCACTTCTCAAAGAAGAAACAAGGTAAAGGCTAGTCAGCTAGAAAGGAGAACAGGGTGGTAATGATTGCTCTGCTTGATTTGTCTCATTATGTGAAATCAATACTGGGAAAGTGGTCTGTAATCTGTAATGCAGCGGCTTCCTTTCTCCTACTCCTTCCCAGTCCAACTGCAAATATAATTGATAGTCTGAAGGCTGATTTTATTTCTTGGAGGCTATTTCCTGCTGCACATTTGTCCAGTAAAGCAGACACTGCCACTGCCTCCTGAATGGGGGTAAATAGTTCTTGGGGATGCAGATCCTGTTAGTTAACAGCCCTTATTGTTTTTTTGAACAAAGGGATTTTTGTACAAGACCTCCTGCTGGCCGTGCTGATTTGATCAGGATTTGCACCCTAAATGTCATGGCTCCTTTTAGAGAGTACTTAAAACAAGCAAAGCAAACAAACTCCTCGAACCTTTTCTTACAGTGGTGTTCCTGGAGTTTTGTACAATTCTCTGGCACTCAGCTGCTGACTGGCAAGCCCAGTGCCTGCAGTGGAAAACCGAAAACCTGGTTGGACAGTCAGCTGTTAATTCCTCAAGACTCCAAGGGAATGTGGAGTTTAAACTCTTATGGGATGGCGTCTTCCTCCTGTGTTTTCATGACAGAAGTGGGTTGACACGCAGAGCCAGGAGTAACGCAGGGTAGAGGTGTCTGAGCCGCCCTGTCCCTGGCCAGTGCCTGCTGTGGCAGAGGGAATTATTTCTTGAGCCTGCTGTTGTGTTGCTGACATTTACGTTTTTTTCCCCATACCAACAAAAACTCTGGAAATGTCTTCACCTGCATGTCTGCTGAGGGATCAGCTCTGCTGAGAGCACTTACTTTCTTTGTAAATGCTCAAATCCCTCAGCTCTTCAGACACAAACAAAGAGGAAAAAGGTTTTGCTTTGTGTGTCTGTAAGCCAGCTGGGTTTTCTTTGATTAATTAGCCACTGCAGTGCTCTCCGTGGGCACAAGGCTTTTTAGTTGCTTTCCTTCATGACTCCGGCCTAGCTAGAGTCAGCCACATTTACAAACTGCAGGAAAATTACTTTATTTTGGTGTTGCCTGTGGGAAAAGGAGCAGGAGTAGCAACCAACTGCCCTTGTTTAGGATGGTCTGTATGCAAACTCAGTTTTTCCAGACCCTACTTGTTTGGCAATATTAAGCATTTTTTAGATGCTCGGTTGTCTTCATCCTAACTTCTGTCTTTTTGCCCCTACCCCATCTCTAAAGCCACAGGACATACTGTTTCCAAGTCAAGTCAGCTGTTCCTGGTAATCTGCAATAGTGTTTTCAATACCAGTACCTTCATTGTGGTATCTAAATGACTCTCAGTGAGTGATTTTTTTTCAGTATGTTTTGCAAGTGTTACTGGCACACACCCAAGTCAAGCAAAAGAATTCTTGTATAGAAATGTTGAACTGCTCCACGCCATGTGCCCAGCCTGAGCTGGCTGCCCTCTGCGGATGGCTTTTACACTGTCTCTTCAATTTCATTACCTTTTAATTGTGAAATATGACTATATAGGGAAAACCTAACAGAGTTTGCTGATTGTCCAGTTGGCTACAGGTATTTCATTTATCATCCACTGGCAGATACACGTCTAACCTCTGACTTACCTGTTCATGTGTTTTAGGGCCATCAAACAGTGATGGAGCTGGCAAGGTCAACCTCTTGAAGAAAGTACCAGCACTAAAGGATGGAGACTTCACCCTGGCCGAGTGGTAAAAACTCAGTCCTTAGACTTCTTGGATACCAGTAATCTGTGCAGCATTTAGGAGATGTCATTCCCACTGAATGGTTAAGGATTGAAGAATATTTGAATGTGTCGGTTATTTTTAATAATATAACCTCATTTGCTCTGTTTCCATTTTCTGTTTGAATTAGCTTTCAGAATGTAAACAAATCAGCTGACTTAACTTCTTGATCTTATCCTGAATGCACTTACCTCCAAATGGGATTATAAACATTTTTGGGAAATGTTTAAAGTTTGTAAAAATCCCTTTTACTCTAGGACAAAAAAAAAAAAATCCTTTTTACCCTAGGACAAAATTCTGTTTATTTGAATTAGTCATAAAGGCCAAGTGAACAGCTACAAAGATAAAATTTAGGTTTTATATTGTAAGATTAATGAGGAGACTGGTTAATGGTATCATAATACTGAAATAATTGAACTATAGTAGAATCAGCATAGTAGGAGGGTCTGTGCTTTCGTCTGTTCTGTCGGCACAGGATTTTTTTTTATTTGTGGCATCTCTTTTTGTAGTAACAGCCTACATATTATTGCAGATGACTAAGATATTTTTCCATCTGACTTCTGCCAGTTAGTGAAAGTATAAACATCTGGACAAACACAGAAAGATTCTGCAGGCTCGGACTTCAGTGGTTAAAGACAGATCTGCTGAAAAAGCAACATAACCTCTTAGAGAGTTTCATTTAGTGCACAAGCACGTCACCTTGTGCAGGTCTCAAGAGATGGATCAGATTGCTCGAAGAACAAGTGGAGTTAACATTCCTGATAGAATATTGTGGAGGTTTATCGTTTATTGTTTGTTTACCCTGGTACGGTCCAGCAGTACTCTGCACCATAGGAGAGTGCTGTGATTTTGCAGCAGGTTAAAGTTTTCATGGGAACTAGGGTGATTAAAGGGCATCTCTGATGTCAGCACGAGTTAGATGCCTGTGTATGGCCCCTAGACTCCATCATAAGTCCTGATCCACCTGCTTTTTAGTGGAAGCAGCAAGTTCAGAAGGGGTAGGAAGGGAGCTTAGGCAAAAGCATTCCATATCGTAACTCCCTGACCGCTTTCTTGTCTCGTTAACGCCTGAGCAGCACTGCTATTCTGCTGTATCTGAGTCGAAAGTACAACACTCCCGACCACTGGTACCCATCAGACATACAAAAGCGAGCCCAGGTAGATGAATACCTCTCATGGCATCACGCTAACATCCGGGCTAATGCTCCTAAGACCATGTGGATCAAGGTAAGGGGACTGAACAGTAAAATGTGAGTAAAGTGATGTTTTCCTGGCAAAATACTGAGTGTTTGAACAGCCCCAATTTGGAGAGAGTTTGTCATGCTGAAATAACAAACCTGGCCCATTCCTAGCTGTGAGGAGCTGTCAGAGAGGGGGCTGTTTCTAATTGTTCAATGTTAGGATCTGGCAAAAGCAGCTTTGGTCATCTGGCATGGAAGGTCTCAAAGCTCAACAGGCTTCTGTTGCCTGCATTAGCAAATGAAAATGTAACGGATGGGATATTGCCTCCAAGAGCCTCCCCCTCGCTGCACAGCTGTGCAGCGTGTGTGCATAGGCAGGAGTTTTGCTTTGGCGAGCACATGCTATGTTGCTGGAAGCAGAAAGGCTTGCGTTCCTCATACAGCAAGTCCCTGCAACCCCGTCAGGGTGGAAATCCAGAAGGAGCCTTCTGCTTCCAGCACACTTAGGTACAGCGTGGTCAGATCAATTTACATTTAGGCAAAATTAACAGAATTGCCCTGAGCCAGAAAATCATTTAGTATCAGGTGCAAATAAAGCCCTTCAAGTACAGCTGTGGTGTGGAATTTCAGATGAAATCAGGATTGCCAGTAAACAGGTTAGAACTTCAGTCTTCCTTTCTAAAGTTTGCCCTTGTTTGTGCCTAACAAAGCATATCAGGACTCATCTAGCTTTTTGATTTATTGACAGTTGAATTTTTGGCTAGAGAGCACAGAGAAGCAATTCAAATATGAGTCAGATTCATACAAGAAGCAGTTTCTTCCAGTCTCTGCAGGCTGTTATTCCAGTGCTTCAAGGGAAAGAAATCCAACTAATTGCTGCTGCCGATGAGATAACCCAGATACAGAAAAGGTCCTCAGAATAACCAAAAATAGGGAAACATACAAAGCCATCATGTAACAGAAGGCATATTAGCTAGACATGGGAGAAGATAGGCTGCCCTGAGATACAGAAAAGGAAGAAGATGTTTCAAGTGATTATACCCAGAGATCCCAATATGTATAACTGGAACCACTTAGGAAAAGAACTGGCCATGAATTTTCTGATGAAATAGATTCCACATGTATTTGGCAAAAATTGTGGCTTAAGCAATCCCAACTTGAATTGTTGAATATACTAGCAGTAAGTAGAAATTCACTCTACTCCCACTGACAATATTTTTAATTTTGCTTCTCTAAATAAACTATATTTCTTTAGCTGTAGATGGAGGCAGCATAGTTGCAAAACACTGTGGGCTCTGACAGTGCATACACCTCTGTAAATGGTGAAAAATCTAATGGAAAGGCAGCTACCCCCTGTCCCAGCAAGTCCATGGAGACAAGGACTGCATTTACATGATGGGTCTGAAAAAATTTCTGATGATTTAAAGAATGACACTTGGGAAGCCACAGAAAGGCTAGCATAAGAACAGTGCTTACCCACGCCCAGCCGCGCTGGCTGCTGCCATGCAGAGAAAGCCATCCCCAGCCTCTGGGGACAAGGTTAGTGCATTCCAGGCCCTCCTGTGCCG